GCGAAGCGGAAACAGAATAAAGAGGAAGTCGGCGCACGGTTGATCCGGAATACCGAATACATTAATCAATAACAAGAGGGCTGGCCGCTTGTCGAATAAAACGAGAACAGGAAAAGCGGAGCGCGATTTCAATGAAAAGAAGGAAAGAGAGAGAAAGATAGAGCGGGGAATATAACGTGAAAATCCTGAATAGGGTAACATTAGTCGGTCTCGTCTGCGAATCGTTCAATGCTCGATGTGTCGTAATTAACGTCAGTCAATCCTTACATTTCTTTTTACTCGGTAGGTAATCTCTCCTCTCCAATGTTTATTATCTACGAAATGATCCGTGCGAAACCACTGATACTGCCTTGTGCTCTTATTTTGCGGTTACGCTGTTACGAGACCCTTTCCGTTCTTATTCAGAGCAAATTTTAAACCGTTACAACAGTAGACGAATAAATCCTTCTTAATATATTTCGTCCAAATATCCGACATTTCGTCACAAAGCGAAACTTTTCAATCCAAGTCCCGTGTCCCTTAGAAGGAAAACCGTGCTTTCCCAAAAATTCCAGACTTTACGGCTGTATTCACTTCCCAATATCCGGCTGTCACGGTTACCGAACAGAGCAAGACAAACGTTCCTTCGTGTTCTTCCGTTTTCGAAGGTTGAATACACGACGGGGCCACGGACAGCCGGGATCTCTCTGGAAGGGCCGCAAAAGGCCGGCTTTCGGTTTTTTTCATGGCAGCTGCCAGCAAACTAGGATCAACGGGTACGCACACTTGCGCACGAAAACCTCGACCACGCGTTCACCGCGCATCGACATATGTAGTATCGAGAAGGGGGCTGGTGTGAGTGCGGCCGTACACTCGTACACAATAGGGGGGCGAGGAGTCGCGTGAGAGTGTGAGCGCGTACATGTGGCACGAATCCGTGCCACACACATGTATCGAGTTTCAGAAGGCACGTTAGGCGTTACCATCGACCTTCTTATATGGAATCGCGTGCGAGACCAGGTATATACGCGCGTGTGAGTGCGCGAGCGTTAGTGTATAACACATCTCTGATTGTGAGAAACGGTCGAAGGAAATAAACGCGAGTGTACACGTTTGTACTTGTCTCGAGAGGAATAATTGCAATTGCTAGCCACTGCGTAATCTGATGCGTGTATCACTTTTGAACAACAAACGGAGGAGCCTCTTATCGGATTCTTTGTCTCGATGAAATTAAATCGCTCTAGTTTCGAAGTTCGCTGATAATTACACACCTTGTACAAATTAAATTATTTCTTTCAATCTCATGACCAGAACGAAGATTATATGATAATTAGATAAGCGTGCCGATGTTATAATCTCTGATACTACTAGTTGTAGCAGATAATTTATTCTATTGTCTTGATAGTATTAAATATCCAAGAATACGAAACATCTGATGCGATGGGAATAGCGATGCGTTGATATAGAACTATATAATAACATTTCTTAATGAAATTCATTATCGAACTCTCGCAGACTTAGTTTGAGAGTGTTTAATCGCTGCATCGATAAGACGGATCGAGTACTTGTGTATACGATATATGAACTACGCAAAGAAAAGATATTTTATTCGATAGTTGAAAACGCACATGAGTCGCGCATTAATTACACGTGCTAACTGTACTTTTACTTCCTGTTTAATTGCTTGTTTTTCGTTTCATCAAGAATCGAAAGAACTTGTCGCATTCGGCTGCGAAATAAATTCTTTTCGATCCAAGCGCAATGTGACTATTGTAAAAATATATGATAAATTTGCGGAAACGAAATCAAATCAAAATATTTTACTTTAGTATATTACTTTCTTTCAATGTTTTAAGTGATCGAGATATTTATAAGAAACGACGAATAAAACGTACAAATTTTACGTTCTTCTGTTCTTTCTTTCTTTTAATCGTTCTCTTTTTCTCTTTTATAAGGTCACTTTAAAAATAAATGATATAATTACGGGATTATTATCACTGAGAAGGTAACTAAGAAGAAAGAATGAAAAAAATGATCGGGATCGTTACGTTAAACGAAGATGTAAAAACAATTCAAGTCTTCGCAATTCCGAGACTTGATAATTTACCGGATAATTGATTAATTAATCTTAATCAAAATAGATTACGCTCGGCGTAAGGACCGTTAACGGTCGTACTTTTAAAGTGATTAATTCAACCGGGCATTAATAATTCTGGATTCCATTGTTCCTGTTATTCCATTCTATCGGTTTGTCTTCGCCATCCCCTCCCTTTTCCTCTTCTTATCTCTTTCTCTGTCTTTTGCTCGCTAACCCATGCCCCTCTTCTCCACTCGATACAGTACCACGTTTCAGCAAACTCACGGATGTGTACGTTTCGGCGTGATTTTAACTCGAATCACATTGCTAATACGTTCTCGTTTATTATGGCTTTTGTACGCGCGAATACGATCTCACAGTCGTCGCCCTATTGTTCCATTGTACCATATAATATCCGTCGGCGATATCTTGAGCCTCTGCGAGCACGCGGAGCGGCAAGGTCAACGTTAAAACACACAAACATTGACGATGGATCCACGGTGGCTGCAATCACGCGCAACCGTTGAAAACTATCGGCACGTGATGCTTTACTTGTATTTAGAATTTATATATATTTTATTTAGAAAAAATAAAAACCAAACAATCAAAGATTGCATACTTTTAAATATAAAACGGATAACAAAAAAAAAAATAATAAACTTTTGGAATTTTTTATTAGCCCAATGGAATTCAGATAAATCAATTCGTTTCACATTGTTGATTCCAGGAAATATAGTTTAATAATCGAATTTAAGTACTATCACATTTTTGATCCTCAAAAAAAATAAAAAATAAAAAATAAAAATTTCCAATAATCTCATCATATCTCACTTTAAAATAAAATAATTACCACGCTATCTCCTAAGAAACCGACAAACAAAATTATTCTTCCCTACAAGTTCGAACGAACGGACGTTTCATGGTCGAGTCGAAGCGATCCTTAGTTTTTAGGGCACGCGAGCGACCAAGCGCACGCGGCAGTCGGTCGGTTCTCGTATCGATCACGCGACAGCTTCAGTGTAAACGCATTTCTCCCCTTTCTGCGCGAGAGGCGACATCTAATGTCATAATGAATCGATAGACATTGTTAACCGTTACGAGAACTCGATTATCGCGGAGGGTATCGTGAAGGCAGCCGCCATGTCGTTCGCGACGTTCACCTCTTCGTTATCATCGCTATCGTTTGTCATTTACTAGGGGGAGGAGAGGAGGAGAAATATATGAAAAATTTGCAACTCTAGAGAATCGACGCGCGGGCGTCAAGCGATTATTCTTCGTTGCGTGAAGTTTGCACGTTTTCGTTCTCGTACTGCTTTTAACGCACCGGAAATAAAAACTGCACATGAGGGCGCTTCTCGTTCTCTTTTTATCTTCATCAGAGAGAGAGAGAGAGAGAGAGAGAGAGAGAGAGAGAGAGAGAGAGAGAGAGAGAAATCCAGCGAGGAAAAAATACGCGCGTAGCCGCGAGCGTACCTCGAAATTCTAAATAAACCAGGGACACCCGGAGACGTAACGAGCGGTAACAACTGTCGCGCGCCGTCGTGAATAACGACATCGATATAATCGGGGATTTTCGAACGGACACTGCGTGTGTAACGACCAACGTGACTACGAGCCGTAACAAAAATTTCAAGCATTACGCAATAAATATAGAGAAGACATCATTGCAAACAACGAATTCTATCCAATGTATCGCGTAATTTCTTCTCCTTCTTTCCTTTTGTCATTTAATTCTTTTTCATTACTTTTTTTTCTTTTTCTATAAACAAACAAAAATTTCTGCATAATAATATAAATATATATGTTTTATCGCAATTTATTCGATAATAATCAAAAGATTTTTAACAGATACTATTCCTCGAGCGAGGTACAGTCGGGTCGCCATAGTCGACAATACGTCTCATTAGCATAATGGCGAGAACGAGCGCTGATCGAGTATACGGTATACACAGAACCAACTCGATGGTACTACGGTCATTGTCATTTAAACGATTTTAAGATGAAACATCTGAAATGCTTCGGTGTTTTCTCAAAATAACTCATCACAATCCGCAAACTGCGTATAATAACAAGGATTATTTAATTAAATCGGTTCTCTCTTGGTGGATTTGTATAAACTGTAAAAGTTTTTAGTATCGGCAGGAATAAAGTAGATACTTGTTTAAAAACGATTATTTCTCCTGTTAAATAACCTGCTATTTCGTTCAGGGTTTTATCGATCTGGAATTCTGGATTACAGATTACAATCTAGTAATAGTACGTACTAAAACTGCCTATGGTCACTCGTTGTTGGAACGATCCTACGCAGGCAAGTTCTCGGGATTAGTAACGGTAAACGAAAAACTTTTGAATCCTCTCTCCCCATAACCGTATAACTATATTGTTACTTTTTCTTTCCCTCTAATAATTAAAAGTTTTTTACGCTTCTATTTTTTACGCAAAAAGAATTTGTCTGTATACGAAACGATTATTCCATAATCGTAAATTCATGCTATAAAATGATCGATCGATAAAGATTTGTACGTGACAAGATGTCATGTGACACACATTCCATCAAGTTAACTCGACAAATAATAATTAGAATAACGAGGTAACGAATATACCCACGATTAAATATTAAACGCATCATTACTGAAACCTACATCCACCACACATATGGAATGCGAATGCTGTGAACGATGTAAACGGTTTCCTAATTTGGATTCTCTGTGCCGTACAAATACAGAAAGCAACTTCAACCGAGTTTGCGTATACCATATATACGGATACACATTTTCCATGAGAGAACGTTTATAATTTTAACAATGTATTACAAATACAACTTATATCAATTGCTTTACTTGAGCAAAAATAAAAATAACATGATTGCCAAGGACAGTAGTTTTAGGCGACATTTTCGGTTTGGAAAAAGAACAAATACTATATGGAAATAGAATATCTATACCTTATTGTCGCTCACCGGAAGTAGCCTCCTCTGTCGCCAGCCGTTTGCCGCTTTTCTTTTCTTTTTCCCCTTCTCCTTCTTTCCTTTTTTTTCTTCTCCTTCTTCCGTTGTTTTTCCAGCAACACTTTTTTCATCCACGTATCAAGCAACGAGGCTTACATTCAATCACTAGAAAATCGGACGCATCCTTTCCAATGTATTCCTCTCTGATCTTATTTATTTCTATCCCACACGTGCCCTTTATCCTATTCTGTGAGATGTATGTGTAGATACACGCATGACGCACGGTTGCTCGCGTTCGTCTATTATTTTTCTCTTTCTATTTTTTTCCTCTTTCTCCAACACGTTTCTTCTAAATCAGGACAATAAGCTCTTTCTTTTTCTCTGGTTCGATACACACAACGACTATGAATTTCTCTTTCGAATTTCTTTTTTCGCGTCACTTTATCTCTCGGTTACTTTGTGATTTGCTCTTCTCTATATCCAATATGTCCAGTTTCTACTTTTCGTTTCTTCTTGATTTCACAAGTTTGCACAGAAATTGAATTTCCAACGGATCGTAGGCGGAGAGGAAGGCCACGAAGAAGGAAGAGGAACGTCGGCTGTGCGCACAGCTGCGATCACGGAACGTCGTGATCCGGAGGAGGCGACATTTCTACGCGGTACGGGAGCGACACGCGATTTCGTGCAAGCCTCGAGTCGAGTGAAAGGGAGAAGAGGGGAAAGACGGGAGAGAAAAAGAAAGAAAGCAAGCGAACCCGACGTTGTCTATAAGCCGGCGAACGGTGAGTTTTCCTTTCCTTCGGAGCCACTACGAGGCGCCCTTCTCTCTTTCTCGCCGTCTTCTTACCCGAGAGCTCCAACAGCCTCTAAACAATGAATACAATACGCCGTGATGGCTGACGTGCGGACAAAACGCGCACGCCGAACAATGTCCCGCGAAAAAACGCGCAAGGGTTCTCTTCGCCACGACGCTGCGAAGAACAAAAAAAAAAAAAAAAAAAAAAAAAGAAAAAAAAGAAAGAAAAATATGAACGAAAAGAGAGACTAGTCGTTACTAGAGACCGAGAAAAATAACGAAGAAACGAAAGAAAGAAAAGATGTAAGACGATACGGGTCATGTTTTTTAATGATACAAATATTCGCAAATACACAAATTCACAGCACTACCAATCCAGTAAATACCTCGGCCATTGCTCGCGAAACGAACTCTTGGGATTCGTATGTTGTTTCTAGTTTTGCGATTTTACGATTATGTACACTTGACTTCGCGCCAGAATACGACACACGAGGAGGAAGGCTTCGTAAAACGATCGTGACATTCTGTGGATCCAGTTTTGTAGAAGAAATATGGCGTTCGCAAACACGATACACAACAGCACAGAAATGGCGGAAAAATGCACGTTTTCGTAAGTCACACACTATGACCGCGGCGTTGTGGATCTAATGATCTGTGCTATGAATATCGACCGATGATAATATTTGGTCTTCTCTGTTTTTGTCTTCGTTGAAAATGGAATATTAAACGCATCACTATAAATTACCAACCTAGATATATGTATGATACTTAAATACGCGCCAGGAATAAAATGAATAGTCAGGCGTGCCAACTTGAAAGTCATTATCAAGTGACGTAGGTTTAGTTATCATTACCAAACCATTAGCAAGTAATATAAATCCCGTAATTAATCACTCCATACAAAGAAATATTGAACACATATTATAAATGATGTAATTAACAATCCTAAATATTTTCCGAACGGACTGATGAATCGTTATTCCCCATGTTACCGACAAACAGTTCGGTTAAATAAGCAGATAAATAAGCGAGAGAGCTACCGCTTCTATGTCGCTATAGTTTCATGCTATATACCCTTCGTTTCTAACGTGGAACGATTAAGTAACGAGGCGAGCTTGTACGAGTCTCTCGTTCTCCCCGTGCACGAGAATAAATTCACCCTGCACGCCCCGGCGTGAGGATCGATACGCACGATTATTTCGGGAACTCGCCCCGTTCTCGCCGAGTATGAGTTACCGTGTGCGACAAAGAGAGTGTGACAGAGAGAGAGAGAGAGAGAGAGAGAGAGAGAGAGAGAGAGAGAGACAAACAGACAAAGACAGGGAAAGAACGAGCAGCATGGAGAAAAGAACAGAGAGAGGGTGAGCCGGCAGATAGAAAGAAAGGGAGACACGTGGAGAAAAAGAGAGGTAAAGAGTCAGGACGAAACCGTGGCGTGGTAAGAGACAGAGAGACGAACAGAGAGGGACCCTTTTTGCCCCTGGAACGAAGGCTGCAAAAGAGGCTCGGGGAAAGGTCGAATGGGCACGTAACGTTTCGAACAACGCGCGAACGTTGAACGTTTTTCAACGGGGCGACGGAGACGACGTCGACAACGATAACGGAGACGAGGACGATCGATTTTCGTCGAAAACGATGGACACAGTTGCAAACGACACGAGCACAGTCTTCCCGAGTTCGTAAACGAGTTCATTCGACAACCAGCAAATCCCACGATGCCGAGTGGCGCGTTGCGTGACCGAACACGAACGAACGAAGCCCGGTAATAAGCGGCTGAGAATCGTTCGAGGCGTATACGAGTCCTTTCCACTATAACAAAATACGCTCGACGTAACCTCGATCAATTTATGGGGCGTCGTAGGTAGATAGAAAATTATGCTTGCTACCTGCGCGTCTCGAGTTCCAACAGCAATATAAGATACCATATCTCCCTGCTTTTGTCTTTTTGTTTCCTTCCATTTTTTTCTCATCGATAGAATTCCAATGATTGAATATAGATGCTAAAAATATTCGAAATAAAGGTTCTACTTTTGTTATGCTTTGTAACAAAAGGGAATGCTTTGAACCTTGTAAGAGGGAATTGATTTTACAAGATTGAATTTGCATTTAGATATAATTCGAGGAAATTTCGATCAAACTCATATTCGTTAATACATAATTTGTAAATTGAATTTGAATATCATAAAACGCGCAATTAAACTCAGATGGTCGCAATATTAAACAATTTTTTAAAATATAGTAAAAATTAATTATAATTAATTACAAGAAAGAAAAAATAATAATAGGGAAAATTATTTTGAGATTTTAGTTTTTTATAATTTTTTTTATACATATTTAGATTCATATCGCACAATAGATAAAATCAGAAAATTATATTTCGAATATTTGAAATTATTTTATCACATCTATCTATTCTATTTATCAAACAATTCAAATTGATTAATAAATCAAATTAAAAAAAACATCATGTAAAAATGATTGATTTCATAATGAAAATGATTTATTTCATAAATTCATTTAATTACTATAATAAGCCTGTAGCCTATTCATCGCATTACGAGTAAGTTATGAACACCTATTCATTCAACTAGTATTTGCCAGTTGACTTAAAGGATTCATAGATTCTTTATTCATGTATGCTAATTGCGCTCCACGGATTACGCCGGTTAGTCACGAGATTCATCAGCTGGAAGGGTGAACGCGTCGTTTAATTTGCTGAATCCTGCATTACGTCGTATTTGTACCAATTGTCCGTTTGTAACAATTATCGTTCTTGGACAGGTTGAAACCATCGAGGTGAAGCAACGTTTCGTCTCGCATGACACTATAGCTCGGCAACGTCTTCCGCGATAAGTCACGTTTCGATTTCATAAGACGATCGATCCTTCTATGAAAGATACGCCCTCTTTGTCTCTTTCACGCTCTTTATCTCACACCGATGACGTTTATCATTCGGACGTGAAATACTAAAATTTTATGATCGAAACTTTATGATGTTCATTTAATCCTTTGATTAAGTAAATCGATTTTTTTATAAAATTAATAATCAAATTGCATATCTTTTTTTTTTATCAAATAAATATTTATAGAATCATTAAGTATAATTTGAAAAAAAAAATTGTCAAGAATCAAATGATAAATTCTTTTTTCCTAACATTGTATACGAAATTTCAGAACAAACTAAAGACAAATTGAACAAAATAAGTAGAACGTGCCAATCAGACGTGACATTGTGAAAGGACAGTCTAGAACATTTCAACTACAATCTGAAGATACTTTCGAATTTGTGACTACGAAATCTGTCCATTCTTGCCAACATTCGAAATTCATTAAGTAAATATACACAACTAATCAGAATTTCTTTCGTTCTTGAATCGAGTTAAAAATATATCGATGTGTTTTTGTGGAAGAAAACTGTTCTTCTTTTTATTTCAAAGATCATATTCAGAAGAATATATGTGAAAATTATTACGTTCGAAAAGATACGAATCGGTGAAATGAAACGCGGAAATAAAACATCACGCGCTACGTGAACGTGTTGCGGGAACCTCAATAGAATATAACTGTTTCTCGAATGATTTATTTGTCACTGAGTATATAAGTTGCATCAAAAACTCGAAATTACGCTTCTGAATTTTACTAGAAAATCAGTAGTTTGTACAATCGAATAAAAGACGTTCTTTCGTTATGTTATCGTTTGATCGATCCCCACTACCATTCCTTGCACAATTACATATCTATCATCGATAAAGATACATTTAATGTACAATTTCTTTGATATTCGATTACATCAAATTTTATTTGAAACTTGGATAATTTTACGAGCATTTTAAAATTTTTATTCATTAATTCTTTGTTTATTATTATGAAACAACAATAAATTAATGATAAAACATTTAATTATGCTAATTTTTGTGCAATATGTGATCGAAATTTAAAAACATGCTGCAGCTAACATTGACGTCGATGTTGGGACGCGAAACGTATCCAATGCAAGCGCGCACTGAATGATAGATTAGAAGCAAGAATATCAGTTACTCTTTTAAAGCGATTCTGAAGTCATCAAATTAAACGGTCGAAAAGACTTCTGCCAAGCACGAAGTCGGTGCGCATCCTCGGTCTCCACCACTTTAGCCGCACTCAACGTAAGAAGTGTTCTCACGAAGAACTCGCAAAAGAGCGCGCATCTCGTTCTTCGGCGTCGATTTAGGTCGTTAACGGTAAAACGGCGTTTGCGCTCCGCGAAACTAAAGAAGACCCGTTAAGACGGCTCTCGATTTTGCTGACGTGCCTCGCGCGATTGCCGTGTAATTGCACCTGCACGAAAATTGCGTCACCATGCTTCTTTAAGCATTGTTCCATTTTCATGATTCTAAATATCCCGAAAACGATTTTCATGTAACCTTTCATATATGGATATATATATATATATATATATATATATATATATATGGATTTTTTTTCTTTTAATTTATTTCAATTATATAGTAATAATGTTTCAAAAAAATATTACGATGCATGAAATAAAATTATTACGAATTTCGAACGTATCGAAAGATGACACGTTTGTCACGCAATACGCGCGTCGTCATATTAATTTTTCTTGATCGCTTAAAATGTTCGTATTAATCGTCGTTCAAATGAACAATAGAATTTGAAACGAGACGGATGCGTTAAAGTATATATACAGGAAGCATCAGATTGTATAAAGAAAACGAAAGAAAATGTACCATTACGATCGACATCTTTCGAAATGTATTATTCTGTCTTACCTAAATGAATTTGCTCCTCATGTGTCGTATATTGCATCTAATCTTTTATCTTGCTTGCACTTTTTCTATCGTATATGGAATAAATGAACACACATATAAACGTCGCATAAAGAATCAACACCAGCGACTGTATTACTTCGGTCGTGTCTCACCTATCGATTTACGATCTATCGATTTCTTTAGTCACCGAAGCACAACTGTGTCACAACCTCAAATTTCAAGGATTCAACGAACTGATTACTCTTGCACTTTATAAAAAATCGGACAAATAACGCGCGAAACTGTTACACTATGCGAATATTCCGTTAAATCGATTTTTTTTTCAACTTTGACGATATGCAGCATACTTCTTACCTAACGTATCAAATATTTGGTTCGCGTGTCACGTCGTTGCCTACCGAGCTTGGCTGCACCTTCAATTTCGACGAAATATCATTCCACGTCTCTCAATCGCTGAGACAGCGAGACCTTCGATGAGCCGCACTTTGTGAGAGGGACGCGCAGGTATAACACGATGATGTTTGCAATTGGACCTCGAAGCTTATGATGAGACTCTCACTCGTTCGAGCCCCAAGCACGACACGTCGCGGTGGCGTCCCAAGGAACAAAAAGCCGAGTAACGACGATCACACAAAGGACAATCGATGCTTTTCTCTTTCTGGATTTTCACTGATATCCGTCGCACTGATTTCACACGCTACGAATATATATCACGCTCAAAACACCCGTATTTATAACCGACAAATTACGCGTTCGATTCGATGCGTGTGTTTTGTTTTATAACGCGGTATACAAAGGTCGTCCGTTTTTTCACGTTGTCCGCCCAAACAAGAATCGTACTCGCGTCTATCTACGTCCGTACGTCGCGGGCGCCGATGGCGGAATGAACCGGTGGCGCCGCAAGCGCCGACACAGGCGCCCTCGTGAACTAACCCGCCTCTTCTACGGACACAAGCATAACCTCTTACCAATACGATAGACCTACACTCATCGATGCCAGAAATACGCCGCACGAATACATGGAAAATGAGTAGGATCGTACGACAGCTACACTCCGCCGAATCTATAATGGATATTCGCACCGACGGACCACCTGGCCCGCCTCCCCTCGCTACAACATCTAACGGGTGTCCATCGATTTATAGCGATACGAACAATGAACAACCAATACATATCGTGTAATACGCCTTGCGTTTTTTCTCGCACAGTATATAATTTGAACAGAGAATTACGGTGCTTTTGTTTTCGATCGTATTCACATTCTTGAACGATAATTTATTTTACGATGATATTTTTCTCTTGTTGAAATTAGTTGAATCGAAGTGTTATTGTACAATTAATTAAATTTAAGTTATGATCAAAAAAAATATTCTTTATGTGATGATTGATATATAAAAAATTCGAATGAACATCGTAAAATACTAATATTAAAATAATGATTTTTTTGTAGGAAATACGAAGAAACGTATAATAACACTTATTAAATTAAGATAGATAAAAATATTGACTCGATGATTTAAGAAAAGTGCTGTATACCTTTTAGTTATTTTCCTTTGGGCAACGACACATAAACGGATTATTGCTATAAGCACGGATAACTGCGATAACGTTGATACAGTTACCTCGTTACCCCTTCTGTCGTAATCGTAATAAAACCTCCACTGTTCTCGAACTCTGCTCTCTGTAACTACGTTAATTGGCCTCTGAACAGTCTGTACGGTCTGCACGACCCAACGAACTAACGGGTGTCTATTTTTTAACCGGTTCGATTCCTCAACGAACACCAGACTCGCATTCACAAGTACTTCATCTTGTTTTGAGCATCGATGTATTCCATCTACCTCCATCTTAAACATCAATGTATAATCATTAAATCGCTACTATCCTCACAGATTTACCACGTCACGTATGATTATGCATTTCCACGTCAGCTATCATAATATGCAATTAGTTGGATCGTGTAATAATACGTTTCCTTATTTACATCTCGCTGAAGTTGATGCAGTATAGCAAACGGAGGAAAAGAGCTAACGCGCATGCAACTATGTATATCTCTTCCTTCCGATGTAATCGTGGAAATAGAGGAAACTCATTACAACTGCTCACACTCTCGTCGTTGTTCTCATCTCTGTTGCGCCTACTCGAGGGCATTGGTGGACGCTCATTTCTTATCCGAAGAAAGAGAAGTGATTGTCTTAGTTCCATTCAGATTACAACGGGCATTGCCAATATCCGTTAAGATAATTCTCTGATGTATATACGTGTATACGATCGAGAAATTTCCCTATGATTTTAATGTAAGTAATCGAGAATTCATTCGCGTCATATTAATACTATTCGTAATTCTATGTATTATTTTGGTTATAAAATATGTTAATTAATATATGGTGAGAAATTTTATTTTGCTGTTAAAAATAATCGATTATTATTATCATTTGCTAATCATTCTCTCATAATTGCAATATATGCAATTATACAATTTTGATATGCATATTAAATGAAATTCGTCAAATCAAAATGATATTCACAAAAATCCCATCGTCTATCTTTCTTGCCATGGTGGTGCTCGCATTTCGTTCGTTGTGTTCAATTTCGTCCGTTATGTCGGATCAAAAATATTGGAGGACAGTCGTTTCCCATCTAAAGAAAGAGAGGAATCGTTGGTGTTCGGTCGCGTACCTCGCGAACCACGACGCGTAAAGAAAGAAGAAAAGGAAAAGGGGGAGAGAGAGAGAAAGCAAAAGGCACAGCGAGAGCGAAAGGGAGAAGAAAAGTTCCTCGATGCCGCTTACTAGACGATGGAAGGGATACTTGGCTTGGGAGGGAGGAGGTAGAGAGCAGTGGACAGCGGAAGGAGGCGACGAAGAGGGGGAAGAAAGAAGAGAGAAAGGGAAAAAAGGCACGTTGTCCAAGTAGATGCGATACGCGCCGGAGATCGTACGCAATGCCTGTGGCTATCTAGCTTAACTCGTGAAAGCCTAACGAATGTTCTCTTCTTACTGTGTATGTGAATTTCTGTCGCGCGCACCAAATCCTCAACCAAACACCTGCGCGAAATAATGTTTCGTAATATAATAAAATCTCGAATTCTGCACGAATTTCGCGATCAATCTGATACATAATTTTTGATAGTTTTCAACCAGGTAAGATCAAAATGCATACAGAGAAAACAGAATCACACGTAATTTACGCACACGTGAAAATGTATATCGTATAAATATGTACATTCGTTGAATATTTTTTTTTGGATATGTACATATATATATTACATACGTTTATGCATGTTTACGAGTAAAACTTCTCTGGTTCACGAGACCCGTAAATATGAGATTTATTATCAAGCGGAAAGTAAATACTTTCAAGAATAACTAGGCATTAAGATTTGATAACTTTCAAGTCGATCTATTCGAAAACATGTAAATATATATGTTTATATATTCAGATGTTGATATTGTTACTTGACACATGTAACACGTAATAAAAATTGTGTTAAAAATTAATGAAGATTGATCCCGTTGAGAGAGGAAAGAGAGAGAGAGAGCGATGTGAATATATTTATTGTAACCTTGACACAGTTTCGGAATCCAAAGCCTCTTCCTAGTTTCTAGGGAATCTCATACTTCAAAGTTCACCTTCGAAACAAGACAGTTTTATCGCTAATGCGCTTTGCACCTTGAAACATATGTTCTTCGAAATACTCCTGCATCGCAGGAGTTATATATCGATGCTGGGTAACATTGTAATACGATACACGATGATATTTCATCTACTTTGCGGGGAGTGTGTAATGTGTACACATATATGAAAACCGGTAGAATACACGGAACGACTAAAGTATAGAAAGACAGATGGAATCTGTGTTGATCACGTCGATCTGTTGGAATCGTGTTAAATTGTCAAACTATTCAAAATTATATTTTTAGATATCTATTTATAAAATAATCAATTTTTAATGTTAAATCGTGCAAAAACTACATATATATGTTTACCTATATGATCGAAAATAAAACAGATCAAAATAAGATCTATGAAAAGCATAGAAATTGCTATTATATAAAAAAAGGAGAAAAAAGCAATATTCGACTACAACGATGATGACGATAGTAGCTAGCTTGCAATTTACAACGACGAAAAACGATTTCGAGGCGTGGAGCCACGTTGCCGTAGCTGCGTATGGATCGAGCTTTAGTGGACGGTCTCGCGGATCTCTTTGTGCAACACAAGGGCCGCAGGGCCATCTTCTTTCTCTTCTTTGGACGGCCTCTGATATGTACCTACTCCCCTCTTTCTTTACTGCTTTCACATCTTCCTTCTTCTTCTTTAGCAGCAGAGCGGCGGCAGCAGCAGCAGTAACATCTCCTCTGACGCCGCTCCTCTGTCCTCGCGACGAGTCATCTCGTTTAGGTCGTGCAAGCCTGCAGGGGGAATGAGGAGGACTCGATGGCGCGCGGAGACGCCGGGCACTCAAGGAGTGGGGGAAGGGGATCGCTAGCTGTGGCGCAGGGAAGAGGGGCAGGAAGGGCCGATGAGCCAAGGAACGAGGAGAGGAACCGAGAAGAGAGGCGACAGGGTCGAGGGAGAGTAGCTACGGGACAGAAGGATATATGACTGTGTATTATGTACTCGGAACCCGTGTTACATACGCCTCCGTTTCTCCATGTATACGTAAGCAAGCAGGTGTGCGTTTTCTTCTGTGTGTTCATACATGTGTTGGTCGGGCGCGCACGTATACCATCGTATCCTGATGCGGTGTATAAAAGTGTGTGCGAGCAAAGGCTCACTTCTCACGCGAGTCTCTTAACCATCTCGCATCGAAGATGTGGCGAACATGGAATCACGCGACTCACGTAAAAAATGATCCTACGATCCTGGCGCAGAAGATGGAAAGACGGAGTGAGAGGATGGTGTTGCGCGGCAAGAGATGGGATAATGGCACGCCGAATGGATGACGCGTACAAGAATGGAGATTCGAGCAGTGTTCGTGGGTGGAGTAGAGCGGAGAATAGTACCAGACAAATTGCAACTGATAATTATCACCATTGCTGGACAGAGGTATCGGGGTAGATTATGACGCTTATGACAAAATAAAATGACCAATTTTTAACAAGTACAGAGTTGAGATTGGTGGAAATAGCTTGAAAGTATTTGATTCGATTGAATGACCGAGATTGATAGATTTCTGAACTAAAAAGCTATTGAACGTTTTAGTAGATGTGGTTAATGATATAGATATTGCAATATGACAGATATATCATTAATACGTGAATAATTAAGACTTTAATTAATAAAATTATATGATTTTTCTATAAATGAGATATCTTGAAAAATTATGAATATACGAATATATAATATATATATATATATATTTTTAAAAATACATATATTTTATTTCAATGAAAGATATTTTCAAAATATTCACAATCGATTATAAGTTAATGCTATATATGTACAATATTGTTTATTTTATAAAATTCTTTTAATAGCAATCGATGTTTAATTCAATTTGGATTAATGAATTACAATTTTGCGTGATTTTTAATAAATTATAATTTAAATATTAATAAAAAAATAAATAATTAACATTATAAGACATACAGCGAACTCTAGTGACCAGAATCATTAACATGTTTCATTCCATCAGAATCCGACAGTATCGACTAAAGGTAACATAAAACTTTATCATATTTTGACAAATACATGTGGAAAAATAATTATGATCATTATTATCATTTGTTGTATATATTAATCATACTTCAATATAATAATATAATTATTATTATTAATATAATTTATATAGATAATTTTAATACTTTAACAATACTTTACAAATTTATATTTTATTAATATTAGTATTTTTAATATTAATATTTATAAAATTTATTAACTATCATTAATTAATTTTTTACATATAAAATATATGAAATTTATAAATATATTATATAAATATAGTTTTATATAATAATACTATTGTTATAGATTTGGATAAAGATTTAATGATTGTTTTTCTTTTCCAAATGATATCCATGCTAGTATTGGGAAGTTTGCAATCATCCAGAAGGTTATTGTTACTATTTTATTATATATCATTCGTACTACAAAGCCAATATATGGTTTATCTAGAAATAATTTTATTAAAAGTAGAATTTTAGTTGCATAGTTTTTAAATTTTTAAAAAGTAAATTCAAAACAATCTTACTTACCGTACATATATAATATAAATTGACGATATTTCAAATTTAGATACGAGTACCATGAGAGAGGTTTCTTATCTAGAAAAAAAATTAATCAGTTAATTACTTTTGAATAAAAATAAAATAACGAAATACATTTTCATCCAAACTAACATTTTATCCCTGTCAAATCATATGTGAAATACAATAAAGTGTCATGATTGATCGATAAATCCATGTGCCAAATTCCTTTCGTTACATTCGTTACATATTCCGTAAATTTCGAATGCGGGTCGTTCAAGTGTTTTGCTATTATTTCACTTTGTATTCTTTTACATAATTCTCTTGTTTCCGCTACCGTTTTTCTACAAATATTCATTCTAAAAGCAAAATAAAACGATATATTTATCATATTAAACATACATACATAAAATTTCTAATATTTTGTTAATATATTTACCTGTCCGATATGCCCAATAAATATCCTATAACTTCCCAATAATGTTTAAAACCTAACATATATTTTTCAGTATTTGCCAGTCCCAATTTTTCTGGTACCAAAAAAACATATCCAATGAAACCGAATTGCGTAATTGCCATGTCCTTTTGATATATTCCATTAAGACCTTTCTGAATTCTTTTTTTACTAGCACTAGCATGCCTCCATCGGATGGCATTTATTACCTTGAACCACCTTGAATATTAATAAATAATTATAAATATATTAATAAATAATATTATATAATAAATAACTAATAAATTCCATAGAATATATGTTTTATCTAACATAAATTAATATTTATTTAACTCACAACAAATCTGAGCTTAGTATTTCCGTTTTTTGAAGTGCGTGTATATGCAACATTGTTTGGGCATATCGTTTGTAAGATAAAGATACCGTAATATTATTTTTCGTATTTACGAGAATCTGAAATGAGAATTTTGATTAAATTAAATTTAATCATTATATCTTTTTTTTAATTTTATATAAAGATTATAAAGATATAATCGAATATAAAGATTTTGATAAATTCTATTAGTTTGTTTGCTTATTGACGAACATTCGAAAGTTCTTATATCATCTAATTGAAATGATAAAACTTTCACAATATACGAAAAATATATTAAAACTATATATAAATATAATTTTTAGAATTTTTAAAACTTCTTGAAAAACTTTCTCTATTAGATTTGTAAAATTTCTGATATATAATAAAAGAATATGATTTATAAATAATCATTCTTGTTATTTCTTTGAGACGTTTGAGAAGATACCAATCGATATTCAAAATATATTACCTCCAATATATCTGGGACTGCCAATATTGCTATTAAACCTGATAGATTTGCACCGACTATTGCTAGTAAATAATCCATACAGAATTGTTGACCTCTAAAATTGAAATTTTTATTCATTAATTTTATACTCAATTATATTATTTATATCATTTTTTTTTAAACTCACTTTTTGAATAAATCTTCATCGTACCACTCAGGTAGATTGTCTGGTGTCATTTTCACAAAATTAGGATCAATTTCTTCTTTACAATTTAAAAGCAGTTGAAAATGTTCGTCTACCGTTGCTGGTTGAACTGATAATAATTGTTAAATTGTTATATATATATATATATATATAAATAAATCTTTTTTTTGAATTTTAATAATAAATACATCAATATACATGAAATATATATTTATAAAATGTTATGAAATACGTGTGAAATATATCGGTAAAAAGTGAAAATTAATACAAGTTATAAGTTTGTTAGCTTAAAAAGATTTTAAGATAATAAAGAAAAAATAAAAAATTGGAATTATTTAAATTATTTAATTATTTAATAATTTTAAAAAAAAATTTTTTTAAATAAATATTTACCGTCATGAATATGTTTTTTATTCGTCATAATTTCTCGTTCAATGATCACTTTCAAATCGTTTCAAACAGAAATTTTATTATGTTACTTTTGATCAAAGATATATTATAATTTTTTCACATTTAAATTCAAATTAGAAATAAAAAAATTTAGTATGAAAAATTTGTTTTAAATTTCAATAACATAAAAAACGTCTATACTGTGTTGTGGATGAAGACTGACTAAGATTATATTGGCTGCAATATACTGTTAAATCCACTTACTCCTTCCTCGCAGTACCACCACTTACTATAATTTTCATTGCAAATTACCTTTATTTATTCATCTTAGATTTATCTAATCGAAATAATTATACACATGTATATTTATAAATAATTTTAATTTATAATTAATTAATTTATAATAAGATTAAAAATAATGATTATTAATATTATATTATAATTGTAATCAATATAGTTATTAATATAGTTATTAATTAATTAGTTATAATTAATGATTACATTAGTCATATTATAGAGATGAAGATTTATGCTCAAAATATTAATATTAAACTCGGACAAGATAGATAAAAAACAAAAATTCTAAAAATAATTATATTTTGATTAGATAAAAAAATCGATAGAATGATACTATTTGTATTTTTATACTCTCTGTCTTGCTTTATTTATTTTAATTTTTAAAATTATTTCTTAATTCTTTATATTTATATTTATATTTTTATATTTTTATCCTATATTATATTTTTAACGATGAATATGGAACATAGAGAGAATAAGGAAACATTTTTTTTTTTTCTATTCTATACTTTTATTCTGAAAAATCGAATTACGATTTCAAAAAAAAATCAACACTTTGAAAAACTTATTTCTCTTTTTCAAGATTTATAAAATTTAAAAAATTTGAATTTAAAATTTTATTTTAAAAAATTATAAAAAAAAAATTACAAGAAACTATTACAGATATTATATTTATATTTACTAATATACATTCTACTAATATACTATACTATACTAATATACATTCGTAACACTTTATACATGTTTCATAATATGTTTCATTATAAATAGTACAATGTAGATGCTTATATTATTCATGCATAAAATTGAATATCATCAAAGAATTGCGTATTTACGTATATATACATTATATAACTATTTTAATTTGTTAAAAGAATAAATAATGAAATGGTAGTTTTATAAGATTTAATGCTCATTCGAATAAAAAAATTTCGAGTAAGAAAATAAAAAAAAAATATTCATTAACTAAAATTATTTTTTGTTTATTTTTCAACATATTTCCCATTTAGGAGAAATAGCTTATTTATTTAGTAATTATATATATACATATATATATATTTAGCATTTTAAATACGAAAAAAATTGAAAATTACGATGATGTTATAATTATACAGTGTCGATTATAATCAATCAATATTTATCAATCTTCATTATATGCGATTAAAGTATATAGATTTATCTCATAGATTTATCGTAAAAATCAAAATTATGATTTTTAAAAATATAAAAAAATATAACTTATATTTCAATGACATATAATAATCTTTATCTCACACTTACACGTAATATACGTGTATATTACTTTTCAACCGATCGATAATTGAATCACGATAATTAAAAAAATACATAAATAATTATTGGAAAAAATGAAGCGATAACATAGAGAAATATGTATTATATACGCAATGACAAATAATTTTCTTATTTTTTCCACTAAATTGATCAAAGTGAAGTAACCTTGAAATCAATTAACTTATTTAATATATTTTGCTCATCACATATTTATTTTCGTGAATAATGTTTTTATTCATATTGTTCTATCTCGAAGAACGCGAAGGACGGATATTTTCTCAATGATTTGTTTCCAATTAATATTAAATAATTCCAAACAAAATATCAACGTAGCTATAAAAAATCCGACGAGTAAGAGTGAAAATCCGGCGCCAAGCGGCGTCAATCCAAGAACTTGCACGCTTCCATCGTATCTGTCACGTTCAATGAAAACTTGGCGAAAATTATAATTACCTCGTCTCCGTATGACATCGCGTAAATGCCAAATAACAATACCGGTCTCCTTCAACCATAGAATCATCTACATATCGAAAAATACAAATTTATATTTTTACGTATACGCATACGCGTGAAAATTTAAACGCACGTTTAAAAAAAGCTGTAGAAAAAATTGCAATAAAAAATTATCGTTACTTCATTTATAGGCTTCAGTAGCCGTGGTTGAATTGCGAAAGCAGCGTAAAAGTGTGCCAACGATTCTCTCATCAATCTATAATTCTATAATCATTCAATTCGAATTATATTTTTAATCATCAATTATATCATATATCATTATCAACACGTTCATTATTCTTTTTTTTACGATTACCTTGAGATTTTCAGTTGTTATATAATCGGTCGGAACAAAACACGTTTCGATTATTTTGCCCAGAATTGCATAATTACCTTCCATTATGAATCTCTCCAATTGCGTATTATTTTCTATTTGATAGTATCTGTTTTGCAATTGAGCCGAATGTGGATCCTGAATTGAATTAATTTTCTTCTTATAACTTCTAAATTATTTTTTCTTCCCCCTCCTCCTCCTTTTTTTTCATCACGATTATCAACTTACATTAAGATCGAAGTAATCGTTAAACGGTGGCGGTTGACCTGATTTCCCCCATGACAAATTCGCCTCGATGAATTGCTTGAATGTATCGATCCTGGAGATACACTAATACTTAGTATGTGAAAATGGGATTTTGATAAGATTGTTTATCGTTAAACGAGTAACTCATGTTTTCAGGGGAAAAAGGATTGAACGGATGGAATTGTGCGAGGGGTGAAAAATGTGTAAAAAAATAACGAAAAGAGAGATGTGTGAACATTGGTACTAGTAGCGTAAAAACAAACAGTGTATCGAATTGTTATTGTAATTTTAAAAAGATTGAAGTTTGAAGTTGAGAATTCCCAAGTTGTAATATATCTTCTTTGTTTATGATATATATTATATAATAAATTTTTATCGGATTTTTCTGTTTAAAATTATCGATATTTTTAAATTTATAGATCAAGGATAAAATTCATTAAGAAATTTTATTAATTGGACGAGATGCTAGACGAGAAGTTTGAATATTAAAACGGATGATATAATCTTCTTTTTTTTTATGTATTTATGTTAAATAGTTTTTTTAATATTTGTTATATAATTAAAAACAGAAAAAAAAATATTATCCTTTCCCAATCGAGAATGTATATAAACTTTTATTTATTTAAAATTGTTTACTTACCGTATACAGTTATTTAATTCTACATATATAATGATATATAATGATTTTTTTATTTTATTTTTTGCTTCGATCCCATACCTGCTTTCGTATTCCCAAGTTGCAAGTCTAGCAGCGAGGCTACTGCAATATGCAGCAATTATTAACCAACCTACGGTCTGCCAGAGAAGTATCTGTAATCTGTTCGATACAACGGTCTTTGGCACCGAGCTGCTTAACAAATATCCAATTAAATCGATGAAAGTAATTAGAAAATTTCGATATCCTGGAAAGAATCATCGGTTAGAAAATCGGTTGCAAGTAAAAAATTGTTGTTTCTTTTTTCTTTTTCTTTTTTTCTTTTTTTTTTTCGTCGAAGAAACGATAATTCAAAGAGGATTTCTCAAAGTTTTTTTTTCTTTTTTTACGTTTTGGAAATTTAGAGTCGATCCATGAACGAACGTAAGTGTAAAGGCTGTGCAGGAGCAACGCGGACAGAAGCAAGCACCAAATTTTCTTGGAAAACGGTTTTTTCAACGCCCAAAAACTTGTGGTTCGACGTGGACGCGGCACCAAGAAATGGAGATACACATCGTACCAAGGTATCGAAAATGTAACGAATTTATTCTGATCCAATGTCACCCAAATGCTAGCAAACGCGATATCCACCTTGGGATGAAACGGGGATGACGAAGGGTGTAATGCGAATAATCTCTCTTTAATTTATTCTTGGTGAAAAAAATTAGGTTATACCTTTTGATCGATTAACATTTGTATCATACCGCCAATCCAATATGTTTCGTTGAATCGTTTTCCGTATCTAAACCAATGGAACATTATTTTTACAAATAACGATTTTACAAATATTTTATTCGAAGAAATCGAAAATTAAAAATTAAGAATAAGGTAAAAAATTGATTATTCGAATGTTTATATTTACGTGTAATTTCCCTCTGGTTTTCTTATGGTCCACGTAAAATTTAATTTTTCCGCCATTATTAAGAACAATTTCATTTCGATACCGTCCCAGTCCAAATCTGTATTTTTTAAAAAAAAATATTTTTATCGTTATCACCGGAAAATATAGAATCAAATCACTCGATATTTACTCACCGTTGTCCATTGCGTACACTTCAGCTTCGAAACCATTGATCGTTTTTCGAATTGTATGATTCAAGTAAGTCATGGGAGGATTATAAATGCTGCAAACTTGTAATTCTTGTCCGTGAAAATTAATATTCTCGTCGATCTTTATCTCTTCGTATCTTTTCAATTCAGCAAATAAAAATGAATTAATATTAAATATCATATTTCTTAATTATTTATACTATATTTATTAATATTACTTATCAAGTTTGGCAAATACTCGCGGGTTCAAATAATTGTCAGATAATTTCCATATACCCGACATAGAAATAATATTTACACTTGCAATTCCATAAATGGAATTATCAAGAATGTTAGAGTCGTTAGAAATATCATTATTCACAATGATTAGAATTTCCGTGTTCCACACTAACGATGGTATTCTGCGACAAAGCAATAATATCTTTGTTAAAACAAAAAAAAAAAAAAAAAAAGAAAAAAATGAACAAATTCTATATCCACAAAAATACAGCATTATTTCATTTCACTTTCTCATAAATTCCATAATTTCGTCATCACACGATCCTAGCAAAAGGTATCCGTCACATTCTTGCTCGTACTCGTTCGTGTTCCGTTTCAAGAAATAATCGTAAGGATAAACGGTTCTGAATCGATCGAAAAATATATGCGAATCTTCCGTTGAATCTGAATAAAAATTTCTGTATTATAAATTTCAATTTCCGGTAAAAAAAACTTTCGAAAAAATTCCAAAAAAAAAAAAAAAACAGTTTTCGAATTCCTATATATTTCATTAACTAACCGCTTAAAAGAATGTTACAACATTTAGAAAAGGAAAACGATAAGTTGATGATTTCTGTAAAATTGTGATCTGTAATCCATGATTTGACATCGGATGCTAATAATAAATCTTTCTTGAAACTTATCACCGATGAAACAGTCGTTACGAGACTATGAATAAATATATAAATCTTCATAATAAATTTTATTCATTCGTAAATCGAAGATATTTTTTTATCGTTTGATTAATTTTTTACGCACAAAATACTTGATCACGAGTTCACAGCATCGTTCATTTTCGATTTCCTCTAATTCACCATGTTCACTTGCGACAAGTAGACCAGTGTATGAGGCCAGTGAAACCAATTTGATTACCAATATGACTTTTCAAGATGTTAGATCTATAATTTGACTTGAGGAAACGATGTAAATATATGTGTAATGTTTGTAGATTGATAAAACGTTACATGTGCAATTTAAGTGTTCGAATGTATTCAGAAACATACAAATAGAAATATTCAAGGTATAGTTTGATGAGAGATAAATGTATGAAAGGAATATTGTGTAAATAGAATTAAAACCCACACATAGTTGACATACAAAACGCGTAATTATGACCAAGTTTCAAGGCTCTTTTATGGTTTCGTTGATGTTTAATAGACGATGTCTGAAATATTAATCGATACGTCTCGTATACGAAAGGATAATCTAACAAAATGACATTATATACTCGTTATGACAAACGTTCGTTTCTTATCGTTCTTCGAAACTTCTTTTTTATTATCGTTCATTTTATATATGTATATATATTTATATACATTCAATATTTGCTGATTAAATATTCAAAGAAGAAGCAGAAATATTTATATTTCAGAAATCAAATATAAAATATAGACTGTTATAATTATAGAAATTATTATGCGTATAATTATACATATTTTTTAAATTAATTTAATTAATATCGAATTAAACATTATTTAAGTTAAATCAAGTTAAATTTTAGAAGAAGCATATTATCGAAATTATTATTATTCAGCACTTTTGAACATCCTTTCTTTTTCACATCCTTATTTACTTCGTAATAATAAAAAAAAAAAAAAATGAGTTTTATTGGGAATAGACTTCGTATATGATATTATCTCTCTTTATTTCGCAAGATATTTCAACTTCGTGAAATTTTAATGAATTAAAGATGATATCTAAAATTGTAATTATTGTATTATATAACATAATATATTATTATTAAATTATTATATTAAATTAATTAATTATATAATGTTATTATATTGTTATTATACATTATTTGCAATATTATATATTATTTGCAATATATTGATATATTAATAAATTAGAGAAATTATATATAAATTTATTTAGTTGATAAAGCACCAACTTATACGGCTAATCGTTTACATTATTTATGAACCGCTTACTTACGTAAGTAAGTAGATTAATGTTTTTTAAATTTTATATCAAGTCAAACTTTTAGAAAGCATTATACTCTGTTTAGCATTAAACGTACTATCCTTTTCACGAATATATATATACATATATGAAGTAGTTTTTCTAACAATCATCATTCAAACAATGATGATACGCAGTAGTGGTATTAAAGAAGAGAAAGTAAATAAAAAAGAGGAATCAAAATTATATAAGTATAACAATTCTTTGTAATTCTTTGTAATGAATATTTTCAATTTGCCTGTTATTTGTAACATTAATGGTAATTTTTACTATATTTGTTTATATTAAAAAATTATGTTTCATTATTAATTTATTGCATGATTCAGGGAAAAGATGTTTTTCACGAGTTGGTTTTATCGGTTTGGGCAATATGGGTAATCACATGGCAAAAAACATTTTAAAGAAGGTAAATTATTCATAATAATTACCTGTGAAGAATCATTTAAAAAGTCATTATAAAAATAAATTAGATAATGATCTCAATTATGTGAGATCATCAAAGCTTTTTTTCTCATCGTAACAAGCAAGAAGAAAAAATATGAATAATGATAAAGTAATCTAATATAAAATTAAAAAAAATGTGAATAGAGATACATTTTATTGTAATTATAACAATATTGTAATAATACATTTTATTGTATTATGTGAAAAAGTGATTGCATTTTATCTCATATAATCATTTCATGTACAATATAGATTTGTAATTTTTCTCTAAATCTTGATATATCCAAACTACATAAATATATTTATTTTTCAATGAAAACTATTAATCAAGAAATTTTAATATATATATATAATATATATAATATTTATTAATAATATTAATTTTTATATTACAGGGATACAAATTAATTGTCTTTGATGTTAACGAATCAGCGATGTCTAATTTGACAAATATAGGCGCTGACAGAGCTTCTAGTCCTGCTGAGATGGCAAAAGATGTTGAAGTGGTCGTTTCAATGTTGCCATCTAACCAACATGTTCTGGACGTTTACAACCTTAAAAATGGTCTATTGAGGTAAATAAGTAGTTGCCTTAAGCATATTCCATCTTTATCAACCGCATTATCTTCTAATAGAAAATGCTTAAGCCTCTCTCCTCTTTTCTTTCAGTTCAGCAAAAAGGAACAGTCTTCTGATCGATAGTAGTACAATAGATCCGTTTGTGTCTCAAACATTGGCCAAAGAGGCTAAAAAAAAAGGCCTTAACTTTTTAGATAGTCCAGTATCCGGAGGTAATGATATATATATATATATATATATATATATATATTACAAATTATTTATTGTATTTAAAATATACGATTTTCCATGTCAATCTTCTTAAAAATATAATTTCTTTTAAAGGTATAAACGCAGCTAAAGATGGTACGTTAACATTTATGGTTGGAGGTTCCAAAGAAAATTTTGAACTTGCCAAGACTCTTCTCAATTGTATGGGATCCAGGATAATACATTGTGGAGATGTGGGAATGGGACAAGCAGCAAAACTGTGTAATAATATGCTTTTAGGTATTAGCATGATTGGTACTGCTGAAGCTTTCAATCTTGGGCAAAAGTAAGAAATTAAAGACAAAAATAAGGCACATATGATATGTTATAAGTGTAATGATTTCTTAATTTTCAGATTAGGTTTAGATTCCAAAATTTTAACTGATATTATCAATTCGAGTAGCGGGAAATGTTGGTCTTCCGAGTTGTACAATCCTGTTCCAGGTATTCTCAAAAATGTACCTAGCTCTAAAAACTATGAGGTATTTAATTATAATTTATTTTTTTCTTTTTTTTTCTTTTTTTTTTAATATATAATATTCGTTTAATTGATGGATTTAATGGTTTTAATTGTAGGGTGGTTTTGGAGTGACATTAATGGCCAAGGATTTAGGATTAGCACAGTCTGTTGCGACTAAAGTAGAAGCAACTATTCCCTTAGGTTCTTTAGCGCATCAAATTTATAGGGCAATTATTGTTCAAGGATTTGCAAAGAAAGACTTTAGTTACGTTTATCAGTTTCTTAAAGGTTGAAAATAATTTTAAAGTTTATCAGTAAACTCTTATCAGTAAAATAATTTTAAAGTAAAAGATAATAATATAACGATTTGATTATTATTATTACTATTATTATTCATATTATTACTATTAATATACAATTTACTATTATATATTTTAATAAACGAATTTTTTCTATCAATTTTTTATAATCAATTTTATTATTTTTATTATTTTATAATCAATTTTTTATTGATTATTTAATTTAGAATTTCTATAATTATCTTTTATGTAAATATCTTTATATATTGATCTATTTATATATATATATTTTTATTGCTTAAAATACGATATTTTTACTATTTGAATATTATTTTTATAAATTCAGAACAATTTTTTATTTTTATCGAAACATGAACATATGTGATAAAATTAAAATATTATTAAATATTTTTTCTTAACCTTCAAATTTTTAATTATTTTTAATTTTTAAATATGATAATTTGATAGAGTGCGCTACAGAACAGAACAATCATAAAATGTCGGTAACTAATTAAGAAATAAATTAAACTTTTATATTATATTTTTAAAATATATAAAGTATATAAAATATATATATATATAAAATAAAATAATAATAAATTGTTTTAAATTAACGTGGTTCTCATTGCACACTTTAGTTTTCTACTATATCGACTTTATCTTACTGATATTTATTTATGTTGCTTTATAAAGTTATTTTATATTTATTATACAAATACAGGCAATCATTAAAATTAGCTTAGGTATTAACTTAAATCGTTATATTAAATTTTAAACACAAAAATTAAATTATTGATATATATAAATTAAATGTGTAATTATATTGATTAGCGCAGTATATTGAATCTTTTTTTAAAAATTTTCCATGTATACTATATAAATATATTAATTGCAACGTTATCATATAATTGAACGTTGCATATTATATATGTTTTAATATACAGGAAATACTTTAAAAAAGAAAATGTATCATCAAAGAATGATTCTAAATTATCTAGGTATCTTTTACTTGTTCTGTATTACCGACGCATTGCACAAAAAACAACTATGTTCAAAACAATATTTCTACTCAATTTATTCAAGCAAAAAAAAATTAGTATATGATTTATTTATAATTAATAGATAATTTTTTAAAGAAAATAAATTAAATATAATGAAAAATATGGCAAATATAAATATTTTATCATTTCTTTGATTAACGTAGTATACCACCATTACTGTCACTCAAGGAGTTTTTGTAGCTAGATGAGGACGAGAGGGCAGTGCAGTTTGGTGCGGCTCTGTGGCACCCTTGCAGTTCCGACTTCGAAGTTTTCCGCTGGCGTGTATTATTCTTCATCGTAACGATTGTTGTCGAAAACGTGCTTTGTTATTAATTTTCTGTAACCGTCTCGATACGAAAGACCGCGCGGATGTGTCGTTAGTGTGCACGTGTTCTTTACGTTCGCGCAGTGTTTCGTAAAGAGAAGAGGCCAAGATACATACGTACGCGGAACTGCAGCTGAAAGGGAGGAAAAGAGAAGAAACACAACGAAGAAGAAAAGGAAGAAGTAGAAGATGAGCAAGACGTGCGCCCGCTGCGAGAAAACGGTCTACCCGATCGAGGAGCTCAAGTGCCTCGACAAGGTATATTACATTTCTGCATTTGTTACGAAATTTTGTAAGGTTTTTCTACGTTTTCTCATATTTACATATCAATTATTTCATTATATCTCATAACAATTATTTCAATCGTATGTAATCTGTCATAAAATTTAAATGGGATAAAATTCGTATTTATTTAATTTAGTAGAATAAATTTTAAAACAAATTATGAAATATTGTGTTAACGATGCAAATGAATTCATTTCGTATCGCTCAGGTTTCTCGGACAGATTTATGATTTTTATGCGATACAATTATTTTTCACTTTGGATAACACACTCTTCAAAACAAGATAAGATTTCCGTATAGATAACGTTTTATCTAAAATTTAGATTATAGATTATTGTCTTTAAAAGTTCTTTCTTTGCACCTTGAAAATTTTCTGCTCTTATTTTATTCATATCCCACAAAAATGATCTCTGTAAACGAGTAGCGTGAAACGGTTCGGAATTTTTTGCAACAGATCGTAAGATGTACCGTTCTCGTTTAGTTCCGCTTAGTGAGGCGTGCTCTTCCATTCGGCATAATTGTCTGTGTCGTTCCGTCCATCCACGCTAGCATACAACATATTCTCTGTTCTCTGCTCGATTCGGCCAACATTTTTCCATCGAAGACGCCGTATTTCTTCATAATACATTTATGTTTCATATGTAGTATATTTTCATCGAATTCATTCTTAACTTAGGTTTTCTTATTCGAATTAATAATTAATCTAGATAAATGTAATTGTTTTCTAAAAAATATAAAACTTATATAAAGTTAATTCTTAACGAATAATTCATTTTTGTATGTATATGTATATGAAGATGAAATGTGTTTCGGGATTATTTAATCAATATTATTGTTATATATAACCAAAATTATTCGTAACAAAGCAATATCGTCAAAATTATTTCAATGAAACTATTCAAGATAACGCATACGATATGTTTTAGAAAATTACAAGTTCATTCCTATCGATATTAATCTTGTGTGAAAGATCGATAAATATATTTAATTTTATTATATGTGTTTATTACATTAGCATTTTATTTATTTATTTAAATTGAATTTATAAAATAATTGAAAATATCACGACTTCCCGCCGCTTAATCATATCCAATAGGATTATAGACGTAGAAATACGTAGCAGTTATGATTTATTTAACAAACGCGAGTCCGTGTTAACGAGTCTTAAATTGCGTGGGCGGCATTTAGCACCGGAAAACGAACCATAGGCCGGCAGAAAAGGCTCGACCTCCTAAATTTGGACGCATGAGATGCGCGATCTCTCCACGTTGGTTTTCTAAATTTTCTTTTCACATCCTTCTCTCCTCTAAGTTCATATATTTTTAGCACTTTCTGTGGGTCACGGTTAAATCTTCATCTATTAACTTTTCTAAACGATGAATGTGAATTTAAATAAGCTTGTCACGCTTTAATCTCATCAAAATTAGAACTAAAAATTATTTAGAGTGTTGAAAATGTAGAATTAATTTTATTAATTTATCAATATTTAATCATTTTTAAGAATACAAAATATCAAAATTTTGTCTATGTCAAAATGTCTAATATTGATTTTGATAAATATATATATATAAGAAACAATATGAATTCTATAATTTTTTTCTTTTTATGCGTTTTATCATTTTGGAATAGAATTCCAAAAGTTTTTTTTTTATACGTCAAAAATCGTTGAGATCGCAGAAGACATACTACCTTAACCTTCAACCTGTAGAATAAGAGCAGTAGAAAGAATAATCTCGTTCAAATCTGAACGAACGAAGGCAAACTACTAGAATTGGATCTACCCGCGAATAATTATTTCTTTGTAAGATTATAGTCCGTTACCGCGCTCGCCGATTTTTCCTCTCTCCGTGTGCGCGTGCGCATATCTCGCCTTCTCGTTATTCGCAGTCTGCTCGCTCTTGTGAATGGCGTGTATAGAAACACTTTCCTCTCTCTTTTTCATCTCCCTTTCTCGTTCTCTCACGCTCTCCTGTTTCATCTCTCCTTCTTCATCTTTATCCGGTGTTCTCCATCCGTAAAGAAACCTCAAGTACGGAGGACAACGTGCACGGATCAAAGCGAGCAGCGAGAACGTTGCGCAGTCGACGGGGACGAATTAAAGCGCACGAAGGACAATTAACGTGTACCGCGTTCCTCTAATCCGGAGAAATTTTAAATTACGCGATTGTCTAGACAAGCGGTACTTATTTTTTTTTCTTTCGTAACACGACAGCGAAATATTTAAGTATAACGTTAAAATAACGACAAAGCAATTTTATTGTTGAAAGATTGAATTTCGACATTTTTTATTCGTAATTTAAATATTAGCGGAATATAATAGAAATATTACATTGCAAAAATATATCTGATGCGAAACAAAAGAATACACGAAATATTAATATTGGCACTTTAATATTGAAAATTCAAACTGGCGAAGTGTTAGAATGATCATGTTCATATCGAATATTTTCAGATCGCGATCGTTCTTTATTCGGTGGGTACATTATGTTTTTTTTTTTTTTTTTTTTTTTTTCCGTTGGAACTGATACTTTCACTGGACTTGAAGCGCGTTCACAGTGTTTGTTCTATTTTTGCGCGTTCGATCGTACCGGTAGAGCTACAGTGCAGCACCGGATTCGAATAGTGTCTTGTTTCAATTTACACAACCCGCATGTGCGTACGACCAGACGTACGCATCCTGGTGTAGAAGCAATTAATCCATGTCCCATTAACCGGAGAGGAATTGCTTTTTCCAACACTCTCCATTATCGAGCCTCCTCTGTTTTCTTTCTCTCTCTCTTTTTCTTTCTTTAAACAGGCAGAAAAATCGAAAAGATATTGATCTTGATTTTAATCTTTTTAATTTAAGTAAGAATAAAAATTTTTCAAATTTTTTTAGAACGATAATTCGAGCTAAAAATATCGAACGATTAGATATATAAAAAATGAAAAATGTCGATCCATTGTTTGCATTAACGTGCTATATGATCCCAAGAAATAACGTAGTTCGGTGAAATTGTAATCGAATTCCAAGCTGAGGCTACTCGTTGCGTGGGCCTGGCACACGATTGCAACAGGTGGGAGTCATTCCCAACCTGTTGCGCCTACACTGTTTCAAAAATACGTTGAACCGTACAGAGCGAACATTTGCGCTCCAATCAAGAATTGAATAATTTTTATATTGTCAGAATGAAGAATTTCTTTTCGAATATTTTGCGCCTCTTATATAAAACTTATGAAAAATAACTTTGTAATATAAATAACATTACAAAATATTATTAAGGATTAAACTTTATTCATATCAAATTTTAGAAGAATTTATTTCTATTCAATAATTGCGTTGGATGAGATAGTAAAACGATCTGAAGCAACGTTATGAGAGTCACTATGTGAATTTTAGAAGAATAAGCCTTTTACTTTCCTGCATCCCGAGTTCCAGCCGTTAGAAATTTCTGTTATGCCAACGATGCGACACGGCATCCGGTTGTTTCCCACTGCCTGTTGCGAAAACACGAATAATTATTCTATGAGCGCGAGTAACATCTACTAGACACCTTTTACCAGGAAAAAAATTCTCTCTTCGTTGCATTTCAATTCGCGACAAGTTTGTAACGTACTAATTTAACACCACAAACCTACTTACATCTTTCTAGACGTTCGTATAAAACAACAAATGATTTCTTGCTTACAGAAAACAAGGGAAAAAAAATATCCTTAATAAAATTTCCAATATCCTTACCACGTAAGGAACGAAACGAATCAAGCATGAAAATTGCAAGAATTCAAATTATCTCGATATTTATTTTTCGTTGACAAATATTTGACAAAATTTTTTCAAACTACTACTTGTTGCAACATATTATTTCTCGATACGAACATTCCACACTGGCTATCACATATATCTTACAGAAGAGCGGACCTCACACCCGGAACACAACCACGACCTGTCCTTTCCCATTCACGACCAAACCGAACAATCGACCATTCACTAAACAAACCTCTATCCATCTCTCTACCTCAAAACTCACCTTCGTCCCCCGAAACTCATCCCACGATGAATTTCACCGGTAATAGCGCACAATTTCTCCATTTGGTACGCCGAGCATCGGGATAACGCTCTCGTGCTATCGTCGAATAACGTGAAACGTTTGATATTTAACGGGTCGCACAAAGGTTAGCCAGGATCATTTGGCTGTCATTGTCCCCGCGCGCACTTTCACTTTCGACGCGAAGCGACTCGATTCGGCCGCGATACGATTCCCGATTTCTATCCGGCCGATCTAATTTCGCACGGCGCGCTTTCTTACCAACCGAGGAAAACGTTGCTCCTTATACGGCTTTAACTATGCCAGGTTATTCAACGCTCACGATTACACGACCGACCGATTCTTACCATCCTCCGTTTCTTTGTTCCTTGTAATTGTGTAACGTAGCATTGTCGATTGTACGAAAGGGAAAATTCTTGGAATTGCAAGAATGCGAACGTCGTTCGATTCATTGATCCATGATATCGATTTTGATAGAAGATGGATAAACGTATGATAGAAATCGCTTTCGGAATATTGCAAAAGTTTTATAAATGTTGTTTTCGAAAAAATAATTTTGGTAGAATTTGTGATATATATATATGATTGAAAATCGATTTTTGGGACTGGATGCAAATTGTAGCGTTAAAAAATCCTAAAAAATGCCATCCATCCTTTGTTTCTGAACGATTTAAAATTGAAAAATTTAAAGATCATACAGATTGATTAACGCGATCAAATTCAATGTGAAACGTTCTAGAGCTCCATGACCATATTTGATCTTGGACAAGGTTTACGGCAATCGCGAGTATAAAATATCTTGCGAAACAAGGGGACGGCTGTTGCACGAGCGAAAAACATTCCAAAAACGAGTGAAAGTGCAACGTTCTGTCGGATTTTATCGTGCCGTTTGCAAATATTGGCTGCATTAATCCGGATGCAAACATCGTAATTGAGTAATCGAGTTGAATCGCTGCCTCGTGAGATTGTCCCGGGTATGCGCAATCACGACTCGTCGGAAAATTTCGTTATCCACACGGGAACAAAATGGAACTATGTTTTGATAGGGTTTTCAATCAACATTGATATCGTTGTTTCTACCGTTTCAACCAAATATTTACCCATTCGGAAAGCAATTAGATTATCGCTTTGGTTTATCTATTTTTTCTTTTTATCAACTCGCTTATTCATTCATTTTTCATTGAAGCTTAATAAAAACCTATCGTAACGAGAATGTTAGATTATATCGAAATTAATTTCAATTCATAGATAAAAGTATAATAATTAACGTATAAATAAAAATTTGTAATTCGAAACTTCAAATGTAAGACAATCGAAATGTCTCAACAAAGTCATCAATATCCATCGATTTTCGATAAATCGTAAAACGCGATCGTGATCGAAGAAAAGGATTTTTCCTGGACAACGAAGAAACTAACTGTTCACCGATCGATTCGAAAGCGGGACCATGGCCAATTACCGCTAATCGCGATTAACTAATTGCAACTAAATTGAACGTACGAGATACACGGTACGCGTCACGTGCTCCATAAAGTTCGACGTGTTGTGGCACGATTGAGAGCGGCTACAGCGTTTGTTTCGTGGCGCGGATTAACATTTGCCGCACGATACAAATAAGGTACCGTTGTGTTCGTTTGACGATGCATTCCACCGTCGGCTCACGGAACGACACTGACGACCTGCATCGTCTAGAAATTGAGACGTGACGAGATTGCGCGCTGTTTTTACATTTTTGCATCCTTCCACCGCTCTTTCTTTTTTTTTTTTTTTTTTTTTTTTTTTTTCGTTTTTCATTATATGAACACTTCTCATTATTATGGATGAATAATAATCGTGTATTTTTACGTCTGTAAATAAATTCGATCGACGCTACTTGATTAGAAACCAGGAAAGATCGTTTTACGCGTTAATTACCGTAATGATTATTTTCGAAAGGTTCATCAATTTTGCTTCGCCATTTTACGACGTTTTGCAAATAATTGCACAAGTGTTGGGTGAAACTGGCTCGTAAAAGAAATAGATGGGAATTACTCTTTTTTTACGGTGATTACAAAATAGCTAATAAAGGATAAAAATTTTCTTTTTGAAAGATTTCATTTTGATTGTATCAATTTAGATACGTTTTATATGTATTGTTTACTTTTAATTTCATCTCTCTCTCTCTCTCTCTCTCTCTCTCTCTCTCTCTGTCTGCCAAACATAGCGAAATCCAAATCAATTCGAACATAAAAAAAATTTCACTTCGCGCGATTATTAATCATTTATCTATTCCATTCGCAAAATAAACAGATCGTATGAAATGATCGTGTTAAAAGTTATTTCAATTACTTGTTTACTTAATTCGAGAAAGTTTCGAATCGAATAGTTGATCGTGTGTCGGGCAACGATACTCGAGGAGAATAAAGAAAGAGCGTTCCACAAGAGACAAGGCGGTTCGCGAGGAATAATTATAACCCTTTGTTGACCGCGATCAAAGTTGACTCACATGCTCGTGAGTCATTTCTCTCTTTCCGGGTGTAGGCCTTCCCGCGATGCCCGTTCCACACCGAGATCCACGACCTTATTCGACATCTGACATCACCAGTAGCCTTGCCAATTATCGACCAGCAACTATCGCGGCCTTCGGTTATCTCTGGGTCAGCTGTAAGAAACGTTCGATCGATCGATATCTGCAAAATTCAATTCTAATTCGATAGCGCCGAATTCGAGAATAAATCTCTTCGATTTCTTTTTCTTTCTCTTTTCTTTTTTTCTAAATTGTTCTCTTCGAATCGATCGCATCCTCGAGAAGGAGAAGGATAATTATTATCTTTCAATTTTTCCACTCGGATAATCGACGATCTTATCGAATCGCATCAAAGGATCGTACATCTCACGCTTTTGTCTATCCATTAGAAAATGAATAGTTGGGTCAGAGTGCACGGTTGTGTTGTCGGCACGTGATAAATCTTCACGTCCGAAAGACAATGTTGGGAGGCTGCGTATATACGCTATCCTTAGACGCTACCGATGAGTAACAATGAAACAAAGGCATTGCCACGATTAAAGGCCTTTTGTTTCCCGGGGAAATCGCGATTTAATGTTTCTTTCCTGGGCGTGGGTGAAATACGCAAACGAGACAACGCTTCGACAAAAGTGTACAAAAATCTTTTTTCTGGAAGAATCGTATCGTTTCGATAATATATATATATAAAAAATGCTATAATTCCAATATGTAATTGTTCCAGATATGGCACAAACAGTGCTTCAAATGTCAGGGCTGCGGCATGATCCTGAACATGCGGACGTACAAGGGTTTCAACAAACAGCCATACTGCGAGGCGTAAGTAGAATCGTTTTATCTCTTGACACTGTGATCTCCTATACTTTGTAAATAGATTAACGACTTGTTTATTCAATCCCTCTTATCTAATTAATCTTCCTCCGAAAGCCTCCTTAGATACCAAATATAAAACTGGCTTAAAATTAAAACTAAAAAAAAAAGAAAAAGAAAAGAAAACTTTTCTACAATTTCAATTCTATGAATCATCTCTTCACACAATTCAATAATCCTATTTAATGATTCGATATCGTTAAGATTCTTATTGCAGTTCTTATTTATTGCAATAATTGCGACGTACCCTTCTTCGCGTTGATTTGATTGATGCGTGTATTTTTTTTTTTTTTTTGATTTTTTTGATAGATATCGATATAGAAGGGATATAACGATATCATAGAAAATTAATCAAAAGAAAAAAAAATATATATTTTACACTTTATCAATGTCGAATCTTTACTCAATGTCGCATTATGTGCACGATTCTGAATACGAGAATGACTGGATCCAATCTGTGTCACCGTCTAAATCGATTGATTTAATTTACAATCTCGTTATATCGCTTCCATTTGACTTAAAAATATATATATATACATATATTAAATTAGTTCAGTTTGCCAATTACGTGATCAAATTTTTTCCAACGATATTAATTACGTATAGAAACGTGTGTCTATCGACTCGTATCTAGTCGCGATATCAAAACGCAATTCACTTTTATCCGCGCCAAGTCATGGATCACGCGCAACATCTTCGCCGATTGCAACAAACAATGAATACGTGAAACGCGTGTTTAGAGGCGCGTGATTGGCTGGCGAGGTTCGCCGAGGGAACGGCCGTTTTAAACGCGGCGAAAGCGAGCGGTCCTGCGGCCGGGATAACCTGCCTTCGTGCCTTTCGAACGGATCCTCCTTTTATCGTCGCTCCTTTCAGCTGGCCGCGTCCTTGCCGCGTCCAACGCCGCCATTACGCTTCGGCTAACGCTCACAGTTCCTAATAAAAATCCGAGTGAAAGGATCCGAAAGTGTATCGCGGAGCTGCCGAACCGGGCTACCCTCGGATCTCTGTCCCCTTCCCTCCCCCTCCTTCCTGCTCCGTTCTCTGACTCGGCGATAAGGATCACTCGTCCAATCGCTTGTTCGACAATTTTTAAATACGAAAAACGAATGTGAAATATTTCGAAATTTTATTCGATCCGAAACTTGGAATTTTGAAGTGAAATTTGAAAGGAAATTTGCGATATTGAAATATATGTAATATGTTGTCGTGGTTGGAAGAATGGAATTGGAAAATTGTTTGACATTCGCGGATACGTTTGTTCCTTTCTTCTTTCTCTGTTTTATCTTCTGATCACGATAACGCAAGATCTGTCTTCGCTAACACGAAGTACGCACGCGTGATTAAAGTGAAAATAGCGTGGAAGGTAATACGGTTTGATAACACGTTGATATCGTTGAACGGAATATTAATAAGCACAATACGATTTTATTTTATTTATTGATCAACGAGTCATCTTATCGCGATACGTAACAAGGTACTTATTCAGAGAATGTAGTTATCAATTTGATCGTTTTCAACTGTGAATATAATAATTACACGAGTCTTTTTTTTTTTTTTACATAATTATCATCATCATGATTTAATTAATGTGACGCGATATGTAATATCGTATGTCCATTTGAATCTATTTTTAAACCGATTCAAACGAATTTCAAACGATAAATATACGACACGCAAGTTCGATATACAGATTCCTTTCTTTATACGAAGTTTGATTGTAAATATATCGTGTAACAATCAATATATAAATCAGTTAATTCTCGTCGGTTGACGCATCGAAATTGATTTCGAGTCCCATTCAATTTCGCGTCGCTGACGTAGATCAATTGAACGACGAACTACACGTTTCAGGGGAAGGCCGAGGAAAGAGCGTGCAAGATTTAACGCTTTTTCGCTGATAGCTTCTCCACATCTCCCTTCATATATCCAAAATAAATCTTATTTTTCGATTCGACGTTTAATCCATTCAGGATCAGGCTTAATAAATTATCCCATAGAGCTAACCGCTTACTCATAGACGCAAATAAAGTAATTTACATAATGCGTTCTCGGCGAAAAAATGTATATTTTTTTTGCGACAACAGATGTGTAGTTTGGAGCTAATAATGTCGAAAATAATTGAAGTTTCAATTCAAGAAATATTGTTCGTTAAAATTACAAATAAAATTTTCACGATTTAACGATTTAAATTTCGAAACGTTATCTTTTTAAATAAAACTAAAATTTGGAAGTTTAATTTCGTGTTAATCTTTTAATACGTTTTATCGCACGTGTGTGATTAGATTAACCGACCATTAATCGGACAAAATTATGGAATATTTTTCAAATTGAAAAATATTCCAAAACCCGATCCATATAAGGAAGGATCGGTTCTCGACGGCTTAATTCACGATCGAGAACCGTCGATTTATCGCAGCTCGCAAATCGGTATGCGCTTTACCGTAAAGTTGTCCGAGCGGTGACTCGCGGAGTATTCCGAGTGAGCATCTGCGATGACGAAATCCTTCGGAGCGTGTTTCGAATCTGCGTTTTTCCGCCGTTTTGCGTCTTTTCAACCGCGTTATTCGCCGCGTAACGGCGTGCAATTTCCTCGAATACGAGATCCGTTTTGTTGCCACGAGGAAGTAACCCAACCCAAGAGAATTCAAGTGCAACATCCACATCCACGTGGCATTTCGAATTTCTTAATCGAAACAAAATTTCTCCCTTATCGGCTGTCTCTGTCTCGTTGATTTTTATATAATAAATCCTTATACTCGAAAACTTCGAGAGAAACTCGGTGGATAATAATTTCGATGCCCATTGCATGCTTCGAATACGTGTATATAATATTTCACGTTGCCACGTCTCTTCCCTTCGTGGACTCGATTCTCTCGAATAGGAAGAAAGCAACGGTTGCGCCTTCGAAACGAAGTTCTCAATTATCACGTACATCTGCTTCCACCGCCAATTTTCTTCATCCTCGTCAAAATCGTTATTGCATCGTTTCTATTTTCGGGATCATCTCTCCCCGTGATAATTCGCGTATCGCGTGCGTTTTCGTCCGTTTTTCGTTCCATTCGGCATCGCGCATGCGAACGAAAGCGGGAACGAAAGCGTGTTGCGATAATAACCGCGGGGGGGATCGAACGGTTCACGAGACAGCATCGCGCTTCTCGCGACAGGAATGTGACACGGTGCATGTGTCGGGCAATGCGTGTCGAATCAGACGATGGACTGAATAAGCAAAGCAGAACACGTGTGAGTCGTGAGATTCATTCATTCGTCTGGTATCCCCCCCGACCTTCCCCGCCCACCCCTCGCCTTCATTTCCCTTGCTCTTTATCTTCCCCCTTTCTCGCGTCTGTCCACCGTTCATTTAATTTTTATGAGCCCGTATATATGAGCATCGGAGCAACGTACTTACGTCGTCTGCCAGGACTGACCTCCTTTGGATCGACAGACAAGAGAATATTTTTTTCTTTTTTTTCTTTTTTTTTTAATTTTGAACATTCACGATCTCTATAGAAATAAATCTTCATAACATATATATATATATGAGGGGGAAAAAATAATTTAACATCAATTATCTTTATCTATCGTATGCTTATAGATTTTTCGATGTCAACGATATCTTTTATCGAGCTTTCGACTCGAATCGATATAAATAAAATTTATATCATATTTAAGGCTTTCTATGTAAATTATTTGCTCGATGTAAAAAATATCCATTCTCGTAACTTCGTTACGAAAGTTTGATCGAAACGTGCCGATTTCCTGCCCCGGGCAGATGTTTCCCACAGAGCCAGACAGAGCGCGCGAAAACAATTTGAATTAAACGGTTCCCTCGGTGGTTGTATCGCCGCTTATATAAATATGCGCGCGCCAACACTTGTTCCGGATTCTGTCGCCGAGCGACGCGCTCAGAATTAAATACTCCCTCGGCAAAAGGTAACACGTGTTCCTGCTTTTGTTGTTCCACCGACGTGTTCCACCGTCCCCCTGCACCTCTCCTCCTCGTCCGTCCAGTAATTCATTTTACCGATCACCGCTCTTCCTCTTCTCTTTCCTTATTTCTTCCGCCCTTCGTTTCGGTTATCACTCGGTTAATTGATACCCCGCGATACCCACGCTTAGTTATTACTCGCTCGTTGCGCGATTCCTGCGCTCTCCTCGGCCGCTTTAATTAAAACGTTTCAGCGGCCGATCGTGATGGCGATACTCGATAGGGACGCGTGCGGAAATCGTATGAAAACGAAGAACAGTTTCCCCGAGGATGAAAGCATCGAGTAAATTGCAAATTGAGATTATAATTAAGTCGGAATTAATAACCTTTGGAATTTGATATTCTTAGAATATTCTTTGTTGGAAGTCATTGTTTCGCTCGAATCGTCGTCATGCGAATTTTTAAGGGTTAACGTAAACCTTACGGAAGCAGAAAAGCGATGCGATTTTTCGTAGTGATAGTGATTCCGATGTAATCTCATTTCCTTTCTTCTTTTATTTTTCATTTTTTTTTTTTTTTTTAATATTTAATACGGAATTTTCACTTCCATTCGGAATAAATATCTTTTTTACTTGCTTCGATCTTTCCTCGTGATTGGAGAACCGATTGGATCGAGAGCGATGCTTCCACGCTTCATCAGTGGAAATTCGCTTCCTTCCTTCCTCGCGATCCCCCCTCCATCCCGAATGGCCGTGTATTCGCCGAATTTCAAACTCGTCCCGGAGAAATGATGTCATCCTCATCGTCATCGGTACACCACGAGTGACTCACTTCCCTTTCGCCACGTTCTTCTTTATTTAGAGAAGTCGCGGGCTCTGCGGTTCACCTCAGACCAACTTTGCACTCTCGTCATGATCGTCGGTCCTTTCTCTAATTGCCGATCATTAGTCCGAGTGTATAGAGTTCTCCGGTTTCTCCGATTCCGCCAATTCCCACGTGAATTATTCTAAACGACGAGAAT